AAAACTAAAATACTCCGACACCATAATACTATATAAATATTTACAAAATAAATTGACGTTACAGAAGAACTTTCCCTTCCCATTGCCCACCACCGCTGGTCGATAATTAATTACCATATTCGGTGTGATGCACAGTACCTTTACGCGAGCATTACCAGGCGAGTATGGCGCAACCCGTACTGTTCTTCGACGTAGCACACCGGTTCCGGTTCCCCGCTCGGTAGCCTCGGTTAACCCACACGACGCGCCCAAATCAGAAGAATCGAAGAAACAGAAGAAAAGCTAGGTTCGACGCGTTTCCGCGCCTCCGGTTTCCACCGCACGACCATGGCACCCTTTCCTTCCGCTCCCCTAGCTTTTGCTGCAGGCCACAAGCGTCCTCTTCCGGACCAGCCGCTGTTCCACCGTGGGCTGAAATTTGGTTACCCGTTTGTTTACTGGCGAAAGACTACTGACGCCACAAAAAAACGGAAGCGTTTGCTGTGCCACCCCCTGGCGGTTTTGCTGATTAGGATCTGACTCCATAACAAGCAGTTGTTTTTGGTTCGCCATTCTACGCCGTATGGTTGGACGGTGTGTTCGGTTGCAAACCAAAATATTGTAACCCACGTTTTTATTTCTTCATCTTTTTCTTTACCAGTGCCGGGACAAAAAAGGAAGTTATTTTCTGTTTCGAAAAATTTTTTGGGGGCGGCCCCCAAAATTTTTAACAAAATTGACTTTTTTTTTTTTCCACTTTTGGTTTTTGCGTGGGGGGGAAAAATTAAGGGGGGGGGCCGGAAAAAAGGGGGAAAAAAAAGTAAAAAAACAAATTTAGTTTGGGGTAGTTTAATTCTCTCTTAATTACCATATTCGGTGTGATGCACCAGTACCTTACGCGAGCATACCAGCGAGTATGCCGCACCTACTGTCTCGACGTAGCACACCGGCTTCGGTTCCCCGCCTCGGTAGCCCTCGGTAACCCACACGACGCGCCCAAATCAGAAGAATCAGAAGAACAGAAGAAAAAGCTAGGTCGACGCGTTTCCGCCGCCTCCGGGGTTTCCACCCACGACATGGCACCCCTTCCCTTCCGCTCCCTAGCCTTTGTGCAGCCCAGCGTCTCTTCCGCCAGCGCTGTCCACGTGGCTGAAATTTGGTACGTTTGTACTGGCGACAGATATGACGCCACAAACGGAGCGTTTGCTGTGCCACCCCTGCGGTTGCTGATTAGATCTGACTCATACAGCGTTGTTTGGTGCCATCTACGCCGTAGGTGACGGTGTGTTCGGTTGCAACAAATATGTGAACACGTTTTATCTTCATTTTCTTTACCAGTGCCGGACAATAAGAGTTATTCTGTTCGAAATTTTTGGGCGCCCAATTACAATACTTTTCACTGTTTGCGAATAGCGAGAAAGTAACAATTTAGTTTGGGGGTAGATAGATGGCAGATAGGAAGAGGGTGGGGCAAAAGCGAAGAGCTAGTCCATACCAAAGAAATTAGAAAGCTAGTACGATTAAGTCTATGCCATTTTGTAGTACTAGTTTGGCTAAATAGAACAACACAGCTGGTCGCAAAGATAAAAATGTTGTCAACTCCTTATTGTATCCAACTACATTATTAAAAATGAAAATTTTAATTAAGTCTGTCCAATCATTCCACCACAATCAAAGGTTCTGTTATATTAAGACTCAACATTTTTTAACTTATGAAATGTTATTTATTGCCCAAAGAAGAAGTTGACCCAGTTATCAGAGAATATTTTCCACCATCTACAAGTTACCAGATTAAACACTCTCATTATGATACTTGGATAAATGATAGCATTTTTTATGGCATGTTTGCATGGGATTATTAAATTTACTGTGACATTTGGGATAACAATTTCAAATTGGTTAAATTATATTTTATGAGCGTTTTTCTAATTTAAACTAAAAAATAATTTTATTGTGTAGTGCATTACTCCAATAATTTATACAATTAGTTAACATTAACAGACAATCCCATTAATGATCTATTTTAGAAATGTTCTCGTAGATTAACGATTGGAAGAACAAAAATATGAAACAACATTTATAACAATATTTATTCTAAACTTGACTA